ATGTACAAGTCTAAAAAAAGTGAAGGACAAATGTTTTCTATTTTTATGTTTTAAAATAATATTTATGTGACAATGTGGTATGAATATACTAATTCAGTATTATGTTTTTCAATTTTTTTGGTCAAATTATGTGTTTTTCATTTTCATTATTTATTGAAGTAATTTTTTTTTTTAACGGGTAACGGGTCAGGTCATATTACTTGATAATATTAATGGGTCGATTTCAGGTCGAGTCATTTTACCTGTTTACTTTAGCGAATATTGCACGACATAACCCATTAGGATATCGGATATGTCATGAAAATGATATGAACACAGAAAACACGACATGAATGTCAGGTCTACCTGAGTTAAAAGGGTTCACAGTTCCCTAGGGCTCACTAGTAGGAAAAACCATTTGCGCAACATATGTTTGGTCAACAAAGCAAAATTCGTCGTGCAAGTGTGTTTTGCGCAATGAAACAATAGTTTCATTGCTCAAGAATGGTGCTACTTTGCACAATGCAGACCTTTGTCGCACTATTGTATGCACGACGAAAAAAAAATTACTCGTCACGTGAAGTCAGTATGAAAATCGTGGGTAATTTTTTGTTTTGCGCAAAGCAAAATGCGCAACGAAGTTTTTCTTACAAAAACCATGTGCGACAAAGGCTTCGTCGCCCAAAGTTCGTTCAGTTTTTGGGTTAGAGCATTTAGTGCATGGAAATGCGAGGAATGACGAAGTTTTTCCCGTAGAAACCTTGTGCGACAAAACCTTCGTTGAGCAAAGTCCATTCATTTTTTGAGTCAGAGCATTCGGTGCATATGAATCAGAGGAATCAATATCATATTTAGTGCAGATGTTTACGCGAGTCCCTGACCTTCCTATAAATATGTGCTTTTGGTTTCTTTATTCTTCACAATTCTTTTCAGAACCGCTTTACTATTTTGCAAATTATTATCAATTTTTTATTTGATTGTTGGTACGATGGCTGACTGTGGTGCACGTTCGTCAAAGACAATGGATGGCGAAGGTTCCGGAAAAGGTTTGCGTTGTAAATTTTGCATTTTGTATAAAGTTTATATTTAGCTTCAGTATTATGAATATGTATTTTGTTGATAGACAAGAAGAAAAGAGCTGCAGTACAAGTCCAACACACTTATGGTGGGAACCTTTACCAAATCACTTCTAACGAATTAATAAGGGTTGTGTCAGATATGTGCGCCAGGTTTTGGTCCGACGTTGGAGTATTGGTGCATGACAAATGTCGTGTGGGTTGGGAGTCTTCGAGAGCCATCCCCGAGGAGCTGAAGATGCACTTGATCGATGAGTTAGCTATATGTGTTAAGTTATTAATTAAATAATAATTATGTTTATTAAATTTCATATAATAGTGAGATTTTAATTTATTAATTTTTACATGACAGCCTTATTGGGACATTGACAAAAGTAACCCAAATCTGATGAAGTTTATTGACAATATCTTCAAGTGTCATTGCCAGGAGTGGAAGTTTGATAATCAACATGTGGCAGAACTACAGCGAGAACCAGAACCACTAGCGGAGGAGTAGAATAGTGTTTTCTTTTTTTTTTTTATAATTTTATTGCTTATTTAATAATCAGATCTGAATTAGAAGTTTTTTACTATGAATGGTTTAATTAAATATGTACTTAATGTGTATTTTGAATAAAATTAATGCATTATGATAAATATTTATATTAATTAATTATGCATGAATGGTTTAATGAAATAAGTTCTTGATTTATTAAGTATTTATGTGGTTTGAAAAAAAATTAAAGTCTGAATAAAAAATTCAATTTTTTTTTTTCAAAATATGAAATTAAAAAAAAAAAAAAAAAAAAAAAAAAAAAAACGTAATGCACTATGAATTGTGATCCATTGTGCAAAGTGTTCTAAAAACGTGGCAAAGTGTAGTTGGATGGCACCAAAAGTGGAAGCACCATGTTTGCGCAACGCTGCTTTCATCGGGCAAAGTCTTTTCACTTTATTGAATTTAACCAGAATGCAAGAAGGCAGAAGCTGCAAAACAACTACAGCAGTAGCCTTCCTCCTCAAATTTCCAGCTAATTCTATTTATGTTACCGTTAATCTCGGAGGTATATTTTCTTAAATAACTTATTTAATTTCCATTCATTTAAATTGTTTTGTTTCTAGTTTATAATTGTTTTGAGTTTATATATTTGTATACAAACATTTTTGTGTGGATGTACAAAAAATGGTTTGCAATGTTCATATGAGCTTAGTTTCTCACTTGAGAATTAGTTGGATTTCGCGAATGGATGCGAAAGCATGACTATGGTCCAATGAATTCTTGAATTGTCCCAAATTTTTGGACAATTTGAGAATGCACGTTTACATGTTGTATTTTGCGGTTTACGAGTTTGAACGTGGAAATTTTGGTAGCATCTCTTTGTGTCCTTCGGGTGCATCGTGCTCTAAGTTGTGCACTTGAAGAACTGCAAGGAGATGTTGCCAAAATTTTCCCACAATCGAACTCTAATGTGTTGGAACCATAAATTACAGCATGTAACTAAGCATTCTTGAATGAGATAGGATCCATACTGAAGGCATAAGGTGGCATATCATAATTGAAGTTGTTGTAACCCTTGTAAATTTTTTATGTTTGCAGATGATATGGATAATGTGACATTCCACATCGCCCAGGAGAGTGATCCTTAAATGTATATTCCCATCCCTACCTAGCACGAGGCCTTTTGGGAGCTCACTGGCTTCGGGTTCCGTAGGAACTCTGAAGTTAAGCAAGAAAGGGGCTAGAGCAATCCCATGATGGGTGACCCACTGGGAAGTTGCTCGCGAGTTCCCAAAAACAAAACCGTGAGGGAATGGTAAGCCCAAAGCGGACAATATCGTGCTACGGTGGTGGAGCGGACTCGGGAAGTGGTCCCACCCGAGCTAGGATGTGACAAATTGGTATCAGAGCCAATCCCTGGCCGAAAATGTGCTGACGAGGACGTCGGGCCCCTAAAGGGGGTGGATTGTGACATCCCACATCGCCCAGGGGAGTGATCCTTAAATGTATATTCCCATCCCTACCTAGCACGAGGCCTTTTGGGAGCTCACTGGCTTCGGGTTCCGTAGGAACTCCGAAGTTAAGCGAGAAGAGGGCTAGAGCAATCCCATGATGGGTGACCCACTGGGAAGTTGCTCGTGAGTTCCCAAAAACAAAACTGTGAGGGAATGGTAAGCCCAAAACGGACAATATATTGCTACGGTGGAGTTGGGCCCGGGAAGTGGTCTCGCCCGGGTCGGGATGTGACAGATAAACAGTGGATACATAATCCTAACAGATGTGATGATGATTATTTGTATAGAATAAATTAGTTCATTGATTTTGCAATTGCAAACAACCGGGGTTCAACTCAAATTCGGTGTCCTTGTAGAAAGTGTAACAACTCAATGATTGAATATTTTGAAACTGTTCGATACCATTTAGCTAGAAATTGGATGATGGAGACCTATACTACGTGGAATCATCGTTAAGAACAAATACAACATGCTTCATCCTCACACATTACCTGAACAGTGGAGACAATTGAATCTGTTGTGGACCCAAATGAACAAATTATGGACATTATCAATGATGCTTTTCCAAATGCTAGTTCGAATACGAATGAGGAAGTAGAAGATGATGTTCCTCCCGACATGGATAGTGAAGCATTTGAAAAATATGAAAAACTATTAAAAAGTGCCAAGCAAGAATTATATCCCGGTTGCAAAGGATTTTCGGTGCTCACGACCATTGTAGAGTTGATGCATGGCAAAATAAAGTTTCGTATGTCTAAAATAATCAATTTAAAAAAATATATATATTATTTTTTATGCCAAGAAAAACTAAATAAGAGGAGCGGGGCTCATCCCAACCCTTCTTCCCCCTCCATCTCGCCTCCTTTCCTTCCTTCATCACTGAAACACAGCATCGCACCTCCTTCAACACCCCTCCTCCTCCATCGTCCACAAGCTACACCTGGGCTCCTATGCAACCACGCCGAGCTCGAGCTCACTCGCCAAGTTGATGTTGAGTCCTTCTTTGTGGCAGCATTCACACAAACAACACGTACCTAACATATTTAATCGTTGTCAATCGCTAGATCCAGACCAAGGTCATGGTTGCTTCTTTATTGAAGGAAGGGGCTTGCTTCTTTGTTGAACACTACCATGGTTACTGCATTGTGGTTTTGGGTGGCCAATCTCAAATTCCTAAATTTTTTTTAGTAAAGGAAGAGAGAACGTGGGGATCTACTAGAATGGGTGATGGCGGTGGGCGGTGGCTAGAGTGGAGAAGATCTGGTTTGGCATTATTTTAGGGTAGCCAATCTCAAATTCTTATTTTTTTCTTGTACGTATTATTTCAAGGGCAAATTCCAATATAAAAATCTAGTGGCCAAGAAGATGATACTTACACTCCATTTTTTTTTCTCTTAGGTTCGCCAACTTCTCATATAAAGCATCCGTTTGAGCATTGACAACGACTTTGCCAGTTTAAACCACATTTAGATCTAAGATCCTTTGCTAATCCACGACGGCTTAAGCAGCGATGACCCACGATTGTTTGCTCAAAGGATGATGTTGGATGGGAAGAAAGTGATGCTTTTCTCTGTTGATTTTCACCCATAAGCCAATCCCTTTAATATTTCATGTACCAGACGAAGAGAAGATGGTAAAGAAGAAAGAGACAATGAATCTATACCAACTGCATTTTTAATTGAAATTTCTTATTTTTGACATTTTTAAATAATATTTCATTAATGTTTTAACCTAGTTGGCTGAGTAGTGAGTCTCGTACTTACCACGTCAGCATTTAACAGGAAAATTAATAGAAAAGTTAACAGAGGGTTGACATTGCAACGAATTGTTAAGCTGATGTATGACATTACAATGTTTAAAAGTTGAGGTATGAAATTGTAATGCGACTTATAATTGAGGTAGTTTTATGTAATTTATCCAAATAAATAATTTAAATAACAAGCAACAACACAGTGAATCATATTTGACACAATACATTTCTTACCATTTAATGTTACAAACACTTCTGATGTCTATTTGGTGAATATCATGGAACACCCTATACATAAACAAATTTGAATGAAGGCTACAACTTCCCTCTGTGTTAAAGATTCTTGTTGGTCCCAAAGAGGAAGATATTAGAGCACATACAAAGGCTTGAAAAATCACCACTTTAAAAACAACTATAGTTTTTTCCTTTCCATCTTGATTTCCCACTTTCCATTTTGGAAAATAGCGCGTACACACGCTGATACGTGTTTCATCTTCACAATCAGTCTTTCATATTGTGTGGTTTAGCTTGTCACTTGAAACCCTAATTGGGTAGGCCTGCAGCCAGCTTTGCTCTCAAGTCTTTTCTCAAGATTTTGCCAGAAGGAGCCTTGGGTATTTTGTCTATGAAGAAAACCCGACCTATTCTCTTATAAAAGACGACCTGCACGTAAAATAATGCAGCAAACGATCAGTCGAGAATTATTTATTTATTTATTTATTTTCGGGATGAAGCAAAATTCAAAAGTAAACGGTACCAAAACAAAAAAAAAAAAAAACCATTGATATAGAGAGGCCTTGCCTAACAAGAGTACAAAGTTATAGTTCCAATCAACACCTAGTAAGGCCATCCAATTATACACACCAATAGATAACACAAGCCCAAGTATCACTCCAAAAGGAAGAAGAAAATAGTTTATAATCCACGAGACTTGGCACACGAAATTTCGGATAAATAATAATGGGTTTACAACTAATGATTCAGAATATTTACTTTTGGACTCGAGGCCATGATCGAATAATCACCAATGTAGCTCGGGTCAGGAATATTTGAAGAAAATGTTCACAAGTATCTAATCTAGAGAGGCCTTTCACCATTATAAGAATTGACTAACGAGATTTTTCTCTCTTTTACAGATATCAAAATCGGCTGGACTTGATACTACCACAAGTATGTTCTTGGGATATACCTAATGTTCGGCTAATCCATCAATGTAGTCATATCTGAGTTAACTGGTTTAGCTCAGCCATGTGGAATTTTCTAGTAGTTTAACCAGCAGGCATTCGTTCACTTCAAGTAGTAAAGTCGTCAATACCTCAAACGAGTGTGTAACACTGTATTAATTTACTAACTGCTCGTATTTGAGTACTAATATATACAAGTCAACAATGGTACCTGTTTTGAGATGTATTGTTTGATGTCATCTTCGGAGATCTTGGAACCGTTCGATCTCACAACAAATGCAACAGGAATTTCACCTGCAGCTTCATCCTTCATACTGAAACAAACAAATTTTAAACAAGTTATACAAACGTTCTTATCTCCATAGACTGATAGATAGTTTGGTAACACGCCGCACCAGTTACAAGGGCATGAGACATAACCATGTAGAATGTGGTACAGGTTAACTTACGGTACAACAGCAGCGTCGGAGATGTTGGGATGGGCAATCAGCATGGCTTCAAGCTCAGCCGGAGCCACTTGGAACCCTTTGTATTTGATGAGTTCCTTTAATCGGTCGACGATAAAGAGCTCGTCATCACCGTCGATGTACCCTATATCACCTGTGTGCAACCATCCCTGTTTGTCTACGGTTCTCTCCGTGGCTTCAGGATCATTAAGATAACCTGCTCACCAATAAGGCCAAATCTATGTTAACATGCATATATCTTTTTGGTGAATTTTTTTTTTTTTGGTTAAAGAAAATCTTTGATACACTTTATATTGTCTTAAAACTGGAAAGAGATCCTCTCCGGATCTCTTTCACCAAGGCCACCGGGTCAAGTGATCCGGACCCTTGAAATTTGATCCAACAACTAAAGTTATTATAACTTTTAAAAGGACCCCTATTTTTAGCCGTTTGATCAAATTTCTAGGGCCTGGATCATTTGATTTGGTAGCCTTGATGGAAGAGATCCAGAAATGATCTCTTTCCCATAAAACTCGCCCATACTTCAGATCCATAAAAAATGTCAGAACCAAGTACTATTCACACATTTATAAATTTTTTGAACTTTTAAATGAGTAAAACAAAAAATAAACACAAATAAAAGGGTGCTTTAGATTTAGTCCCTTACAACTTTTAAAACTACACTTAGCTACATTATTTTCATAAACAATATGTAAATTATTTTTTGGTAAAATTACACATAGGTGCATTATTTTTATAAAAGTTAAATAATAGGTACTTTATTTTTGGAAAAAAAAAATCAGTAGATACATTGTTTCTTTTAAACAATAGCTACATTATTTTTATAAAAATTAAACAATAAGTAAATTATTTTGGTAAATTAAATAATAGGTACATTATTTTCGTAAAAATTGAATTTGTTATTAATAATGCATTGAAATTAGGGAGTCTTAACAAAACACTTCTGGTACTGTTTACATTTAACGTTAAAGATATTTTTACTCTAAAAGTCATTTTGTTATTTTGGTTAAAATTCAAAATTTTCAAGTCATTTTCATTAGTTTTCCTTTGAAATTATAACATTAATGCTTTTTTTTTTTTTTTGTTGCCACAGTATATATCATGATACTAAAGCTACTAACATGTATTAAATTTTATAATGTTAATTGCCATAGATATCATGTTATTAGGGGCATTTTAGGCATCTAGGAATTTTAAAAGGTGTGAAGTCAAACTTAATTAATGATTTTGTTTATGTGGAGTCTAGTCATTGAGTTTAATTTAGAGAAAAAAAAAAAACTATTTTGGGTTTTAGGTAAAGAAAATTCATTTTTAAGGGGTAAAGTTATATTTTTAGTAAATATAAAATATAATGAGTCATCTTAAAAATGTTAACGATTGAACTTAGTACTATAGTGTAGTGATATTCATTTTTACTTGTAAGTAAGAGGTCTTAAGATCAATTCTCACCAAAGACGAATTTTAACCCTATTATTTCTAGTTCATTGTGAGACTAAGCTTATCTCTTCAGATAATATCATTTGTTCAAAAAAAAAAAAAAATGTTAATCGATTTGGAAATAAGCGTGTGCCTGTACGAAACGAACCCACTCAAGTTACGAAAATAGTGTGAAGCTACGAATATAATAAACAAATGGTAATCCTAATCCCAGCCCATTCACCAATAAATTTCGTCCACCCAGACACGACCAAGATACATTGATGTTTAAAGTTATTGTCCCTTCGACCAATAATAGTTTCTATTATTCATTCATTAGTATTTAGTTTGATTGTTCAAAAGGTTATGTTTCTTTACTCATACATCTTAACTATTAATTAAATGAGTTATTATTTGGATTCATGATTTGACTTTGATAGAATGAGAATGCAACATAATGATTTTCTTGGTAACAAACTGATAATCTTTCGTTATATAAAATCTCAGCATGGACACGCATTATCTCCGTAAGGATTAAGAAAATCTCAACATGGCCTGAAATTATTTATAAATTCATTTTTGTAGGTTTTTAATTTTTTTTAATTTTTTTTTAAGAAACGAAATTATTTACACTAAAAAGGAAATGATGGGCTTAACCTCACAATATTCTAGTAATAATATGGTTCAAATTCACCTTTAAAGAGAAATTTACTACTAAATACTAAGGAGTTATTTTATTCACACCCTACGTTTTGTTGACTACATCTCATATGCTTAATACACCCCACATTTATTTTTTAGACGAAAATTTATCTTAACACATCCCACATACTTTTCAATATTATCCTTACACCCCACGCCTTCTCCGTATACCCCACACTCTCCACTTAAAATCCAAATCAAATCATGTGTTTGTCTCACAAGTTCATCTTCTCCACCATTTTCAGAAAAGAGTATTGTCGAATGATCATGGGTAGAAATTTCTATGAGCTGTAAAGAGAAGGTACTTCATCTTCAAATCAATGGTTTAGGGTCTAGGGTTTATGAAGAAGAAGTTTGACCAAACTCCATCATCATCTTGCTTCTTTCTTTGTGCATCTTTGAGGACTCCACTTTTTCCTCTAATCTGGAATTGTTGGACTTGAGATATGTCGAGTTAAGGGGTTTCTTAAATGGTTTATCATCTATTAACAAGTACGAAACGAAAATTTTCTCATATTCTTTTTTAAATTTTTAATTATTCCATTTTGGAGTTTCTATCAATTAAGAATTTTAGGGTTTCTCTATTCAATTCACAGCTCGGTTCTTAAAGTACAATCCTATATTATTTTCCAAGCAAGATTATATTTCCAAATACACCACCATGCATGAATTAAAAACCAAGTAGGATTCTCTTCCCTCTTTTTTTCCCTTCCCTTCCCTACCTTCCTATTTGAAGAGTCACAGTTAAGTCATTGTAACATCTTATATTAATTTTTGATAGAAAGAGAAAGACAAAATAGAGAATATAAGAGGAGATGATAGAAGGAGGAGGGGAGAGAATCCTAGGACATATGGATAGATATATAAAATAAAAGCCAGCAAGATCCGCAAACAAATGAACTAATTAATTAGATTATAATTAATACTGTAATCTTAAGAAGAAGATAAAATAAAGGGGTGTGCTATTTACACATCTCTTTTTACTTCTCACATACCCTTTGTTAATTTTTGTCTATTGATCTTCTTCAATTCATTCGATCCGACAGTCGACAATTAGAAGGGTGTGTGAGAAGTAAAAAATGATGTATGGATATCACGCCCCTAAGTAAAAGAATATGCAAGAAAATTATTGGTTTATTGTAATGGAATAGTAGCCACTCTGTGTACCTTTCATGATTTGGCTACCTCTGATGCAAATCTCTCCAGCTTGATTTCGCGTAAGCGAAGCACCCGTATCAGGGTCAACAATTTTCATCTCTGCATTTCTTACAACAGTCCCGCACGCACCTGATTTTATCTCAAATGGTTCCTTTGCAAATGCTAAGCACATTGACAGCACAGGTCCAGCCTCTGTCATTCCATACCCCTGAACAAATTTCAACGTATATTATTTCACACCATTATTTTCATATTCAAAGACTGTATGACATATATGGTTAACAAATGGGTACAAATAATAAAATCTGTATGACATATATGGTTGACAAATGGGTACAAATAACAAAAACTGTATGACATATATTGTTGAAAAATGGATACAAATAAAAGGACCATAGTTTTAAAGCGGGACATATAATATAGGACAATTTGTGGTATTAAACCGCTCCCTTCACTATCAATTTTTTTTTAATTAATTCATCTTCATATTTAAATAAGAAGTTTTAAGCTCAACTTATATATTGACTATAACGTATTATATTTGTGTTGAATTTGATACTTAATTAGTGATTAATCCATTCTATAGTCTAACTCAATCAACCACACACACGAATACATAAGTTACTATCAACTGTTGATATTTTACGGCTTGCACTTGCATCAACAACTAACACAACTCTTACTCAAAATTTAAATCATGGCCCCACGAAAATAAAGTTCGTAAACAAATATGGCATTTATATCATTTTCCGGACTAAAATTACCAAAACATGATTGAGGATGAGAATCACTCAACCACTTCGGAAATATGGTGTATATATATATCTAGAGAGAAATCCAATTAAAGACGTTATTCAATTGAATTACCTGTCCAAGTTTGGCATTAGGTAACTTAGCCCTCACTGTATCCTCAAGCTCCTTCCCCATCGGCGCCGCACCGGACATCACCATCCTTATCGATGACAAGTCGTACCGGTCTAAGTCGGGGCTTTTGGCAATACTCAAAACGATCGGAGGTACAAAAGGCGCAATCGTCACCTTGTACTTCTCCACCAGCTCCAACAACTTGGTGATCTCAAACTTCTGCATGATCAGTATCGCCGCCCCAACTCTGAGTCCGCAGAGAAACACTGAATTGAGGGAGTAGATATGGAACAAGGGCAGCACGCAGAGGATCACGTCCTCACTGTGGAAATACAAATTCGGATTCTCTCCGTCCACCTGTTGCGCCACGCTCGTCACCAACCCTTTGTGAGTCAGCATAACCCCTTTAGGTAGCCCCGTCGTCCCGGAAGAATACGGCAGCGCAACGACATCTTCGGGGTTTATTTTCACCGCCGGGATGTCATTCTCGTCCGCCGAAGTCAGCTCCGAGAAGTGACGATAAGTATTACCGTCTTCCTCAGTTTCCACGCTGTCGACGACCATGATCTCGACGTCGTTTTTAAGTGCGAAGTCCTTCACCTTGTCCACGTAAGCCGACTGCGTTATGATGAGTTTGGCATTGGATGCTTTTGCCTGCTTGGCCATCTCGGCTGGAGTGTAGAAGGGGTTGGCGGTGGTGACGACTGCGCCGATATTGGAGGCGCCGAGAAATGCAAAGACGAATTCAGGGCTGTTTTGGAGGAGGAGCATGATGACGTCGGTTTGGTGAATGCCGATTTTGTGGAGCCCCGAGGCGACCTTGCGGGAGGTGAGCTCGACGTCGGCGTAGGTGAAGGTGTCGCCGTTGTTGCCGTTGATCAAGCAGGGGCGGTCCATGAATTGGGAGATGTTTTCGAAGCAGTAGGTGTGAAGAGGGAGGTGGTTTGGGATGTAAATATCGGGGAGTTTGGACCGGAAAATGAACTCATCATCTTTGTGATGGTGCTCCATTGGATATGTGTTTGGATGGTGAGAAAGTGAGGGAAAATGTGAGAGAAAATTGGTAGTAGGGATTGGGTTGGTTTCTTTCAGACGACCTTCTCCCTGGTTTTTGGTTTGGGTTTTGGTTGAAGTAAATATACAAACAGGTGTGGTGAGGGAAACGGACTTGGTTGGTATTAATTTATTTGTCAATGACAGAACATGTCCAATTCCAAAGAGTTGCACCGAAGTAACAGACCAATCAGTCCATTCCACGTACACAATTTATTTCTCTTTATTAAGTCAGCTTCACTTCTCTAGTACACGTGGCGTTATGTAATAGGTGAAGGATGTTTGGTGGGTTGGGGAAGCGAAATAGATTTGGTTACATGCGGCACACTTTAGCCCAAAACCAACCAGTTGGCTGCCACGTAGGACGCTTCACCTAACGCAGAGCCTTTACTCGTCCCTTGGTTGGTGACTCTAGTAAACGACACCATTCACCTACTACAAGTGCTTGGTCATGGACATAAAAATCCACGCCCAAGTGACGTCGTAATGTTGTCACGCTCACTCGCTTAAAACTGGCTGCTGGCTCAGGTATGGCTGGCTGGCTGGCTCAAATATTCACATTTTGTTTTTCTTTTTAATTTTTGTATTTTCCATATTTGTATTTCCAGTATTTTTTTTTTCTTTTTGTTTTTTTTTCGTAGAAAAAGTTGATTAAACTTTTTTGGAATTTAAAGGATACACAGTCCAACCATTTAGTATTACAATCTGATGATATTTCTCTTTACTTGTAAAGGAAATTTTGAACCATATTATTACTTAGCTCATTGTCAAACTTAGTTTACTCTTCCATCTTTTAGTATAGATAATATCGTTTATTAAAAAAAAAAAAAAATTACAGAATGCAGTTTTTGGCACCTACGATTTTGACTGTAGGCATTGAGGTGAAGAAATGAGAAAATGATGATTTGGCAGCCCTTTTAATTGGCCATGCCTTTTCGATATTTGGTTACCAAATTAGGTTTGACAATTTATTACTTGTTTTATACAGTTGACAACAACATAGTAACCTACCTATCATGCATGGTTTTTTCTTTTCTTATAAGATATCAAAGATATTACACAATTTAACCGAGTCAAAATTACATTGAAATATGTATTAAAAAGGTGATCGTAACCATGACTTAATGAAATAAAAATGTCTATTTAGCTTATCGATAAATATGATTAGACGCACATTTAGAAATTCGTTGAAGAAGTTGCCAAGTACTCTTATTTAAAATTTTGAATCTTCTTCAATGTTATTATTTGTAAAGTACATTCGTATTGTCCAATATAATATTTGTAGAAGAGAATTCCATTAAAAAGCAACATGAAGAAGGAATACAGAAAGACTCATTAGAAAAGGAGAAGATAAGCACAGCTTTTACATAGAGCAGGAACAAACATGTTCCAATAAGTAAGAACTAGCTATCTAGCCTAAAAGGCTACCAAAAAATCTACCTACACCCAAGATGGAGGGGCTACTCCCACCCCATATGGGGATTATACAGAAAGGGGATAAGGGAGGCCATCCCTAGACAGAACACCAACAAGAAAGGGAGGGGGCACAAAGTCCCATTTCGAAGAGCACACCCTCTGTATCGCCAAGGATACAGCTGCATAAGTTGCTTTGTTTGCTAACCTAGGAATCCATTTCCAATGAAGGGAAGAGAACAAGCAAGCATGTCTCTTTATTTCTTCCACAATAGGAATGATTTTCCACAGACCTTTCAAGTTTCTTTTCTGAATTATGTCCATAACATTTTTGCAATCATTTTCCAAAACCACATTACGATGACC